GGGAAACAACCGAAAAAAACTGAACAAGCCATAAATAAAAATGATGACTTTCCAATATTAAATGACGCTACCTCAGTACATTGAGAAAAAAATTTAAGATTCAGTTTCGAATAGTAACTTTCTGTTTAATTTTGACATCGGTGTTATCTTATTATTGTAATTTAATATTTTTAACGTTTTTGTGTATAGCAAAACATGTGGATTTTGGTTTTCCAGAAATTAAATAAAACTTTTTGTCAATAATGTATCGGATAGTTTTAATGAAGTATTATCGGCAGCAGCTAAAAGTGACTGAAATACAAAGCAATGAATCTTATTGAGTTAAAAATTGTTTATATTATCGATATAATTTGAGCAATAAAGAGAACAGATATCAATTACAATCCATAATTGAACCATTTTCTTTTAGTAATAAAATCGAAGGAAACACAATAGTTTGATAGAACCAAATGATTTTTTGATTTTTTTAAGAGTTTTGAATTTTTCTTTTGTTATTAAAACTTTTTGAGTTATGATAATTCGAAGATTATGATTAATTGATTATAGTAGAAATCTTAGTTAATATTGACGTGTAGAATAAATTATATTTCTCAAACAATAATAGAAGCTAGAATTTATTTGTTGAAAAAGAATTCCTGTTCAAACTCTTACTATTTTCAATAGAATAAAACAACAGTTATAAAAGAAAAAAAAACAAATGATGCTTATTCTAAGATTCTATGGATAAACAAAATCAGAAGTCTTCTTCAAATATTAGAATTTCTTTATTCAATCAAACAAATCTAATTAATAATAATTTATCTATATACATTTGTATGAATGATAGTACAACACAATTCTTAACTAAAAAGGCATGCTTAATGATTGCCTGGAAGTAATAATTTGGCAAGTGTTGCTTCATATTGTTCATCTAATGTAACAAGTTCTGCAACAACATTTAAACGTCGTTGAGCTATATGTTTTAATTGTATATATGCATTATTTCGTTGTTCACTACGTGTCTTTTGTCGTTCAATTGTTGTTGATAAATGTTCTGATAAACGACGAGATTTTAATGGACCTTCAATTCGAGGTGTTGATGATGACGATGATGAACGCATTCCATTATCAGGTACTTCATGACGATGAATATCTGATTCATGTCTACAATGTAATTATTAGAAATTATTCTGAAATATGAACTATTAGACGTGTTAAAGTATACAGCAAAATGACTATCCTTTCTACTGATATTCACAAACAACTTAGCAAACGGCTCACAAAATATTGTGAACGATAGAATTCCGAAAATGTATTGTATTGAGTATGTTTAAAACCATCTTTCTGTTGTTTCTTGAGAATGGTTCATTAGAAAGATTTGAAACTTTCAGAACAATTAATTAGGTTTTGATCAGTAGAGCGAATTACGTTCAGTCGAGCTGAAAATGTTCAACTTCAGACTCTATGATCGTCAAAAAAAACAAAATGATGTGGGTCACAAAAGAGGAGGCTAACCCTTAATGAAGACCTTTTCCTTGGAGAAACGATGTACCGGATGCAATAGAAAACTCTCTTAATGAATTAATTTCTCGAACAAAAGAAAACTCAGTTATTATATTTTCATTAAAATATACGTTGTTTTCAAGGGTTTAAGTTAAAAGTCTTAAGAATGAGGTTAATATTATTTTCATGTTTTTAAAATCCTTTAAATCCTTTCGGTTTTCTAAAAAAGAAAAGCTGCTATTGCAATACCTATGGAATTAAAATATGAAACATCATACAGGTGCCGTTGTTAATCACTTGAAAATTGTTTCATTCTATCTATTTTAGGACAAATATCTTCGTCATCCTTTTACTTAGTCATTTCGAATGCAAAGAGGCAGTAATTCATATATTATAACGAGACCTTATTGATATACAGTCTCTGACGCTCCTAAAGCTACTTCTGTCAGGAACTTTCATGGGGCTGGGTTCAAATTTTTGTCCTGATTTCATAAAATCTATGTCGATTAGATTATCTATGAGTTTTTTTTTTTAATTCAATTTAAGATATCACATCGAAAATGTATATACGAACTTTTGAGATGTCATCGATATATCTTTATGACCACAAAATGAATGATTAAGTAATTGAGCTAAAGTTCCCATTTCATATGTTGGATCTGAAGGATTTTCTTGACAATGAGTAATTGATTTAGGTTTAAGTTTAATTTGTGATGGATATTCATCTGAACTTAATTCTCCACTCTCACATTCACTTGCACTACTATGATCTGATGATGCCAATGGCAAATGTGCTGCACTATTATTAACACTAATAACTAAAAACAATAAAATAATATTTTATATTTTGTTTGGTAGAAAAATGATTTTAACCTTCTTTCACATAAATACATTTTCTTGAAAAAGTTGTCATGGCTGCTGTATTCATATTTGCTGAAATATCTGATAAAGGAATTGATGGACGATGACGATAACCATGTGTAGCTGTGATTGAAGATGAAGTATGTGTTGCTGTTGAATGCCATTTATTAGTTGATGACAATAAATTAGAGCCTGAATTCGCCATTATTTCAAAATTAAAAAAACAACAGATTTCATTGCATGATATAATGAACAAAACAGACGAGACGATCGTGTTATGTGATTAACACACTTCACTTGTGATGTGCACAAGAAGATAGTAAAGAATGAATAACGAATAGACTAATATTGTAGCCTCGATATATATATAATTATATATAAATCGAATCATTCTTTCAACCTAGACGAATAGAATTCAAGTGATTCATTCTGTAGTTTTGATAGATATTACATACATTTAAAGTAACGATCGCCGCCTAATAATTAACCCAGTTTTATTTTCTATTTTCAATGTGTTTAACACGTTTATAAATTTTGGTTTTCATATCATTGAATAGAAATTTAAATTCTTTACAAAATTGTTAAATTTATCTGCTGAATAAATTTTTTTCATCACAGTTAAGTATGAATCAGCTGAAATTTGAAATATGCTAAAACATTTTAAATAAAATTCTGCAGTTATTGATGTAATTTTCAATTTTTTAGAGGAAATATTTAAGAAGAAAAATTTTCGAAATCAAAACTATTAAAACACTGCAAAAAAAAACTTTATTCGAACTAACTTGGATCATTAGTTTAGATCGAGTCAAAACATTTAAAATATTTCAACTGTTCAAGTGAATACACGTACTATTTCGTACAGAATGAAATTCTACATCCGATTACAAGTGATTCAGTTTGACGTGTGAAAACATTGTTTTGTATAATGCATCCCAAAACATTATAAAATGCTTTTCATCTATTACTGTAAAAATATTTCACTTGTATGATTGGCTTTGACGAGTAAATACTCACATAAACAGCTGTTTTTTTTATCCCTAGAAAAACAGAACTTTACAGTTTGATAATTCAATAATTGCTTATCTCTTTTAAGTTCATATTACTGTAGAAAACATTCATGAACAATGGAATCGGTGATATAATAGAGAATTGAATTCTCTATCCAGCAATCATCAGATCCATAATTAGAAAAAATTGTCAAATCCATCAAAAAAAAGATAATGAAAAAGGATCATCTATTAAGACTCACGCATTTGTTTTTTTTTTTAAATGTCAAATCTTTCAACATTTTATAAATTTCATTGGAAATTGCCCATAGAAGTTGCTTCATTATAAATTAAAATTTCTTTCATTACTTGACTAAATCCAATCTTCATGTCATATCTCTCAAGCTCAAAGTTCATGCTTATCAACACGAAATAAAAACCCTAAGAGAGAAAGACAAGGGGGAAAAAGACGACTTATGTACTTCTGAAGTACGAAGAAGTGTAGGTATGTATCCAGGTTAATTTTTTTTATTTCATTTCTATGATAGATTATATAAGTTCATTTTGTATGTGATTTTTACATTACCGGTTTTGTTACTTTGCAATGACCATGATTTTTTTAATGGATATTAGCATTTATTTCTGTTTAATGTTCAGCGTTGATCCTTTTTTTAATCATAGTTATAATAGCTATCACTTCTCTTTGGGTGTATATTTTCTATTGTATTATGATCATTATTATGAGAAAGAGAAAAGTCGCAAATTTTTTTTCTCGTCGAAAATGTTAGTGCAAAAGAAAAAACGTAAAAAGAGGACTGATATGTTGTTTTCAACTGGCAGTCTTTTGGTATTTGATTATTTTTTTTTAAATTAAAAACTACATTATAAGGAAAAAATGACTGTATCTATCTTTTATTTCTGAAGTTAAAGACATACGTAAAAACGAAATAGAAGTGCATATACATGTCGAGAGATATGAAGGGGTATGAAGAAGTATAAAGAAGTGCAAAGAAGCTTATAGAAATATGAAGAAGCATGAAAAAGTATAGAAGTATCAAGAAGTATCGAGAAGTTTTGAGAAGTACAAAGAAGTATAGCGAAGTGCAAAGAAGTATAGAAGTCTGCTTTTCCCTCCTTGAGTTGAAGTGCTCAAAAATGCATATTGATTTTTTTGTTCAATAAGCCATGCGATTTATCTCTCATAATGTTTTTTTCAAGCATTAAAATTGTTCGACCTTATTCAACCCATAATCACTATGATAATAAGCTTTTTAGAATCTTCTAATAAATGTGTGCAGTAATTGTGGAATTCTATCGTGTAGAAATCGTTTTTTTTTGTAAAAAGAAATATACTTTTAGTAGTGCCATTCTTAATTGAGCCGATTTAAGTCGGGTCATCAAAAAATGAACCGATTTCAAGTCCTGTTTCTCATACACATTATTCATGCTACTTGAATCCGCAGAAGCAAGTTCTTTATTAAGATATTTCTAATAGATACTAAGCAGTGAGTATAGCCGAGAAGCAATAAAAACAACTAATAATTAAGACGAGAAGAAAGAAATTTTTATTTTATTCACAAAAAAAATACATCTGTCAAATGATGGCAATACATTATGATTACCAAAATTCTACAAATGTTAATATCACGGATTCAGCTAAAAGTGTCTTGATTAATCGACTTCTTCCACACGTGGACCTGAATAACCATCATTACCACCATCATGATGGCTTCCACTGCGACCATATTGTTGTCCACTACCACCGCCACCGCCACCGCCACCACCATGCATTTTTGTCATAATTTTCTGACATTTCTTTTCTAATGATTTATACTGATGTTCAATTTCCTCTTTTTCAGCCAATCGATTTCTGTCTAACCATTTTTGTGTTTCTTCACATGCACCCAAAACAGTCGATTTATCCGAAGAACTTATAGCTGAACCATTATAATTTTCTATAGCTTGTTTACATGAATATACATATGTTTCAAGACGATTTCGTGCATTAACGCGTTCACGCGCTTGTTCATCTTCGTCCCGATATTGTTCTGCATCATTTACCATACGTTGAATTTCAGCTTGAGATAAACGTCCTTTATCATTTTTAATTTCAATTTTCTTATTTCGACCTGTACTTTTATCTTCAGCAGTAACATGAAGAATACCTATGAAACGAAACGAAACGACAAATCGATAATAAACTAATATAAAACAATGAATATTCTTATTTTACCGTTTGCATCCAAATCAAAAGTAACGTCAATTTGTGGTATACCACGTGGAGCAGGAGGAATACCTTCCAAATTAAATTGACCTAACAAATGATTATCTTTTGTCATTGAACGTTCACCTTCATAAACTTGAATAGAAACTGCTGGCTGAAAAAAACAAAAAAAATATCGATTAATATTGATTAGAATTTTCATTTTCTTTTCTCTTACTTGATTATCTGCATAGGTTGTAAATGTTTCTGTTTTTTTATATGGAATACGTGTATTTCGTTCAACTAATTTAGTCATAACACCACCAGCTGTTTCAATACCCATTGATAATGGTGTTACGTCAATAAGTAAAACGTCTTTAATCATTTCACTTTTATCACCTAAAATTATGATAATTATAATGAAACTAAATAATTTAGATAATAATTTATGTTTTTTTTTACCGATCAAAATAGCAGCTTGTACAGCGGCACCATAAGCAACAGCTTCATCAGGATTAATATTTTTATTTAATGTTTTTCCATTAAAAAATTCTGATAATAATTGTTGAACTTTTGGTATACGTGTTGAACCACCGACGAGTACAACTTCTTCGATATCACGTTTTTGTAATTTAGCATCTTTAAGAGCTCGTTCAACAGGTCCTATTGTACCTCGAAAGTAATCCTATCAATAAGAAAAATTAAATATTAAATTTTCATTTATCTTAATTTCAATATTTTTTTTACCATATTAAGCTCTTCAAATCGAGCACGACTTATTTGTGTATTAAAATCAACTCCTTCAAAAAGGGAATCGATTTCCATTGAAGCTGTTGTTGATGATGATAATGTTCGTTTAGCACGTTCACATGCACTTCGTAAACGTCGTATAGCTTTCGGATTTTTGGATATATCTTTACCATGTTTACGACGAAATTCTTCAATAAAATGTTGAACTAAACGATTATCAAAATCTTCACCACCTAAATGTGTATCACCAGCTAAAAAAGAAAAAAAATAAATATTAAATTTATTGATTTCGCTTTCATTTTTCTTTTTGACTTACCAGTAGATTTTACTTCAAATACTGAACCACCTTCATCACCACCACTTATTGTTAAAATAGATACATCAAATGTACCGCCACCAAGATCATAAATAAGAATATTTTGATCACGGTGAAGTTTTTTCTCTAGACCATAAGCAAGTGCAGCAGCTGTTGGTTCATTTATAATACGAAGCACATCAAGACCAGCAATAGTACCTGCATCTTTCGTTGCCTAAAATTTAAGGAATTAAGTTTTTTTGAAAATAATAAAATGGCATAGATAGTGATGCGTGGGATCAATGTTTTTTTCTCTCGGTCCCAGTTACTTCTTTAATAGTGGTCCTGGAGCTAGTGATTTTAGTTGTTTTGCTCCAGTTTTCTGCTTTAGTCCTAGTCGCGAGAAAATTATTCCAGAATTTATTCATATCACACCTAAAAATATTCTTCTATACTGATTTATAAGATAATTTGCTTGAAAACATAGAAAATTTAACTATTATCCTTTATTCAGGTTGGAGAAAGCTTTTTCTCGTGCTTCGGCTCCGAAAAATTATTTTCTCGTGATTCCAGGTCCGATAAATTTTTTTGTCGTGCTCCTGGTGGCTAGCATCGGGGCTAAAATTATTCTTGCATATCTCTTGCCATAGTGCATAAGATAAGCGGAGTAGTGTTTTAATTTTGATAAGAATTTAGACATGAAGATAATATCAAAAAAGTAAATAAAAGATTTTATCTTTGTGGACAAAATCATAGAAAATTAAAAATTAGAAAAAAACAACCTTGAGTGTATCGAGTCTACAATAACTATGATATAGATCTACGGCTGGTTTCTTAACAACGATGGAAAACCTTAGATTATTTTAGGTAATCTTTTATTTTGTTTTGAATCATTGCAAATAACCAACGATGAATCATGATCTATTTTTATTCTGGAAGAGACACGCATATTCGCGAAAGTTCGAAAAAATGTTTTGCATAGAACGACAAAAAAAGAAGGCGCGTCTTGTTGTTTTTTTTGGTTTTTCTTTCTGTTGACCTTTAGCGTTCTTTTTATTATATTATTTTATTCTTACCTGTCGTTGTGAATCGTTAAAATAGGCAGGAACTGTAACAACAGCTTGTTTAACAGTTGTACCTAAGAAAGCTTCTGCTGTTTCTTTCATTTTTGTTAATACCATTGAAGAAATTTCTTCTGGTGAAAAAAGCTAAAAGAAAATAAATTTTAATGAAAACAAAAATTAATAATAATCTTAATTACTTACTTTTCTTTCACCTTTATATTCAACTTCAATGAAGGGCTTTCGCTCTTTACCATTAACAACTTTAAATGGCCATAATTTAATATCTTGTTGTACAGTTTCTTCATCAAAACGTCGTCCGATTAAACGTTTAGCATCAAATACTGTATTTGGTGGATTCATAGCTGCTTGATTTTTAGCAGCATCACCAATTAAACGTTCAGTATCGGTAAATGCAACATAAGATGGTGTTGTTCGATTTCCTTGATCATTTGCAATTATTTCAACTTTACCATGTTGAAATACTCCCACACAAGAATAAGTTGTTCCCAAATCAATACCAATTGCTTGGCCTTTTCTATTACTACCTGTACTACGAGACATGGTCAGAAGTAAATGTATATGCAATCAAACGTTGAATTAAAGCAACAGATGAATAGCGCGCCAATGCTTATATATATCCAAACAATATTCTAGAATATTCTCGATGAGTAAAGAATATATAAAGGTGAGGCAAAAACTATACTTTACACCTCATACAAAAATCAGTGCGCTATGCAAAGCAATTCAATAGGAAGGAGAGAAAGAGAAAAAAAATAACAACAACAAGAAGAAAGAAAAAAAAACAACGATCAGCTTCTAGATTCTCCAGCCAGTTATTTTTAATATTTACGATCGTGCACTAACGAACTAAAAAATATTTGCGTATAATAATAGATGGAGTCAAAAAAAGTTAATTTATACTCTGTAGCTTGGAAAATTGTTTAACAAGTGATAGGAAATTAACTCGGAAAAAGAAAAGATTGTTTAATCGTTCTCGTCCTTGACATAGGAAGAAGAAAAATTCTTAAAAAATTTATAGGAAGAAGCATATTGACAAAATAAGCATAACAAGCATATTTAAATTATTAACATAATTCAAAATTCAAGAAACATACGCAGTTTTTCTTGTTGTTTCATAGAATTCGATCTTCAAGAAAAAAAAATTACTCGTCTCCATGATTTTTTAATATAAATTTATGGGTAAAATTTCCAATTGAAAGATAAATACAAAACCCTATTGTAACAACAAGAGACCCTTTCCACAGACAGCAAAAACATAAAGAAATAAAAGTCTCAATTCGAATTTATAATTCACAAAGTTAAAAAAAAACAATTATTGTTTATATTAATACGGACACAGTTCAGTTTTATTAGTTTTTTCATTAATATCAAGTATATGTCAAGAGACACTAAGAATAACATCATTGTCTGAGAAATATACACGATGCTGCTTTTCAATTTTACCCATCACTTCAAGGTACTTTATACTAACATTGACAACACCGTCACAAAAGACCACATTTCTTTCAAATACAATACTAGTCAATAATAGAAGTCTAACATATTTTTAATTCTTTTTGTTGTTATGATATCAAACATGTAAGCTCAATCCAAATGGTAGTTTGAATAGCCAATGAAGTTCTCTATTATAATTAATTAGAGCATTACTAAAAAATGTATTTATTTTGTTGTCTTGTGATGTTTATAACATTTTAAGAGAAGATCCTAGGAAATGCAATAACATCTTATTTGATTCAAAATTTCACACTCTTTATAATGATACTCTTTTAAAAAAAATAATTTTTACAATCTTCTGAGGTCTGAAAACTATCATGTTTCTTTTTTCAGAAACATTCATCTCATAGTCCATGTATGAAATTTAATAGTGAACTTCATTGGCTATTCAAGTCAATATTTGGATTTGAGTTAAAAGTTTAGTATCGTAGAAAAAAAAACAAAAAAATACACTGATCGTATTTTTTTGACCAACACGGTAATTTAACATTGAAGCGAAAAAAAAAAACTTTCTCTCTTTACCACTATTTTCTTTTTGAGTCAGCACAACTTAAGTTCTTCCAAATATTTAAAGACTATTATTCTTTCAAACAAATATTAGCTAGCTATCTGTCAAATTTACGTAATGAAAATAGCAAATCACGTTTTTTTTCAAACCAACTTTTTCATTAAAAAACTTGCAAAAATATTTTCGTTTCTTCTGCCTAATATTTCCAATCTAATAGAAAATTTTTTTCACATATACACTACACTAGTGTTCTGTATGAATACAATTTTTCACAGCCAAACTCGAACTTATCGACATCCGGCAGATATACTTTCATAGTCAT